TTTAATGAAATCAAGATTCTAGCCCTCAAGGAGGCCGGGATCACAACTCTCGCTCCCCAGAGGAGGCAGCCATTGAAAGTGGACAACTTGTGCCTCTTGACCCAAAAACGTTGAAAATCCTCCGCAGGGCACCTGTCAGGCCACCCCGACAGGACCCATGACAGCACGCGTTTGAGCGTGTGTCAGTGGCGGTTTCAGCAGCCACATCCCTAGCATTGAGGGGACATTCAGGCAACTCCTGAATGGACAATATGTGCACAGCAGGAGCGGGATCAGGCTCCACAGTAGGTAATGGCAGCCTACTTAAAGCATCTGCATGACCCATTTCCTTACCAGGCTTATGGACCAGTGAATAGTCATAAGCTGAGAGGAAGATGGACCAACGCAGCATACGAGGGGACAGGATATGAGGAGTTTGTTTGGAGGTAGTGAATAGCCCCAACAAAGGCTTGTGGTCAGTAAAGACCGTAAAATGGCGGCCATAGATAAAGTCATGGAACTTTTTAATTCCTGCCACCAGAGCCAAAGCCTCTCTATCAATTTGAGCATAGTTGCGCTCAGCAGCAGATAAAGTCCTAGAGGAGTAAGCCACAGGGACCTGAGTCCCATCAGCCGTCAAATGGCTAAGAACAGCACCCACACCGTAGGGTGAGGCATCACAAGCCAGACACACTGGCAACTGCTCATTAAAATGGGCCAACACCGCTTTGGATGTAAGCAAGGCTTTAACCTCATTGAAACTGGCCTCATGGACTTTGGTCCAGCGCCAACAAGCATTCTTGTCAAGAAGTCTGTGCAAAGGTTCAGCAATAGCAGCTTTATGAGGTAGAAAAGCATGATAAAAGTTCAGTAAACCCCAAAAGGCTTGCAATTCGCCCTTAGACTTGGGGCTTGGAGCCTTCTGAATAGCTTTGAGCTTAGCATCAGATGGGTGGATACCCTGCGCATCTATCTTGAAACCTAGGAACTCAGTGGAATGCACACCAATCTTACATTTGTCCTGTTTTAGTTTAAGACCTGCTTTCCGGAAACGAAGCAAAACAGCCTTTAAACGCTCAGCCAGCACTTGTGGAGAGTCTCCTGCGATGAGAACATCATCAAAATAAGGACACACACCGGGAATACCCCTCAGGGTGTTTTCCATTACACTCTGAAAAATGCCAGGAGCGACATTCACCCCAAACTGTAACCTCTTCACCCTGAAAGCCCCACGATGGGTGACAATAGTTTGGGCCTCAGCTGCAGCATCATCAACAGGCAGCTGTTGATATGCTTGAGCTAGATTGAGCTTAGCAAAAATCTTTCCCTCTTTGAGAGAAGCCAGAATATGGCTCACAACAGGCACAGGATAAGCACGTTGCTGTAGTGCCTTGTTTAGAGTGCATTTGTAGTCAGCACAAATCCGGATGTCCCCGTTTGCCTTTAAAGGCATTACAATGGGGGTTTCCCACGGGCTGGAATCTACAGGCTCTAGAATGCCTTGCTGGAGCAATTTGTCCAGTTCAGCGTCAATCTTACTCTTAAGAGCAAAAGGTACTCTCCTAGGTTTAACCCTGATGGGCTGTACCGTTGGATCTAGCTTTAGTGAAACGGGAGGTCCAGTGTAGGACCCTAGTTCAGAACTGAACACATCTGCAAACTCCTTGCATACGTCTGCAAGGGTCTCTGTTTGCAATTTATGTAGCCCTGTTACTTGTATTCCCAAGGCCTCAAACCAATCGAGTCCAATGAGACTCGTTCACTCACCCCCCACAACTAACACGTCTAGGGGGCCTGCAAAATTCTTGTACTGTACCTTAAGGGTGGCCTCCCCCTTAATGCACACTTGAGAATTTTGGAAATCCGTAAGGATTACATTAGAAGGCCTTAACGAAACTCGCTGGCCACTGCTGCTGCAGATTTTGTGAAATGTGTTGAGGGAAATTATGGATAGGGCATACCCGTGTCGAGTTCCATCGACAATGGAACTCCCTGCAATTTCACTTTAAGTGTTAGTTTCTTTTTAAGGGGTTTGTGTGTGCCTATTCTTAAAATGTTCCGGCGTGTTGCACAGAACCCCACCCTGTTTTGACTGGGCACCCTGGTACCTTTCAGATTCAATTCTTCCTTTGGTTGTACCTTCTGTCGACCCAGGCAGACCGCAGCGATGTGGCCTTTCTTTCCGCACGCTTGGCAAATGGCGGAACGGAACCGACATTCCGCTCGCTTGTGGCGTCCACCACATCCGAGGCAACGAAGCTCAGCTGGGCCCTTGTCCTGATGATCTTTGGACCTCCTCCCAGCTGCTTGGTAAAGCTTGTCCACCTCTTCTTCAGGATCTTCTTCCGAATCCTCGCGCACGTCTTCCTTGTGAATAGTGGCGGTCTCTGGAGCGTTTCGCTTAGGCCGCATGTTCTTGACCGCCCCACCTGCAGCTTCTTCAGCCGAAACCTCTCGCAGAGCATCTTGGAAGGAGACATCTTCCCTGGCGAACAGCCTCTGCTGTAAGTCTGTGTTCCTCAGTCCGCACACAAAACGATCGCGCAGTCTTTCCTCTAAGTCCTTGAAGTCGCACGGTTTAGCTGCTCTTCTCAAGGCCGCAACGTATTCTTTTGCTGATTCTCCAACTCGCTGATCTCTCTGTTGAAATGTNTACCGTTTCCAGCGAGTCCGGGGCGATTAAGCTCTCGGCGATCTCAAAGGCGTCTTGCCCACAAACGCACAACAATGTGGCAGCCTTTAAGCCTTCCTCCCGAATCTGGTTTATGCGGAAATACGTCTCGACTCTTGCAACATAAGATTCCCACCTCTCGGGGTGAGAGACGTCGAATTCCGCTAAATGCCCAACTTTCACCATGATCGAGGATCAGGGTCTTCTTCTTCAGCCGCACGCACCCTCCAGCGATTTCGTACTGGCAGGATAACGCTGACTTCCACGCCGTTTTCTCTTCCGGACTTCTTTGGGTGAGTCTTCAAGCTTTCCTAGCTGTATAGACTGAATCCCACCCTCGTTGCCAGTGTTAAGTCCGGAGAATAATGGCGCTTGAGACGAAGCATTTCTAACAAGTCTTTATTCTCTGCTTCCAATCTACGAACAACCCGAGCAGAGGCACGCAGGCCTCTATTTATACCTTCAGATCCCCGGGCAAGTTCAACCAATCATGAGGCGGTCTTTTCCCGCCTTGCGCATGTGCGCAAGGCAGGCGCCACTCAGTCTGGTCCCGGGCAGCTTCTGCAAATGCCCGGGACTCTTGCAATGTCCCGAGTCTTCCTTTGCAGGCTCAGGACACAACAATGTGACCATGGGGAGGCTGCAATGGAGATAAATGTGAAAAACAATCATAAGTCATTTTTTTCAGTGCTGTTGCAACAGTCACTAAACAAATAATTGTTAGTTGAGGACTACCTGTAAAATAAATAACTCTGCCTATGAATGAGAATTTACATTATCTCCCACTTTCCTGGAGTCCACTTAACATAAAAGAGGACACTTACAGTCTGCTGAATAAATCAACAGAGGCAGAGAAGTTCATTTTTTAGAGAAAGCCTCAATTGACAAATCTGCAATTTGCTGACCCTTCATGCTTTTATTGCCATATTTTGGGGATTTGGCTTGCAACAGGAAAAGACTTGGGGTTTACATTTTTAAAATAAAAGGCTTTATAGGCAAGCCAGTACAACATCAAAAGAGTTGTTGTTTTGGCTATTCATATAATGTGGAGGAGCAGATGCTAATAAAGATTACAGGGTAAGGTACAATCCCTGAGTAGATAATGTGGTATGTGCAGAATGGGGGCAAGGGTGAAAAGATGAGTTGTGATGTTGCAATGGAAGCTCCACCTCTTACTCAGCTGGACAGAACTGTTGTGTCCTGAGCCTGCAAAAGCAGGCTCGGGACGTTGCAAGAGTCCCGGGCATTTGCAAAAGCTGCCCGGGACCAGACTGAGTGGCGCCGGCCTTGCGCGCATGCGCAAGGCGGGAAAAGACCGCCTCATGATTGGTTGAACTTGCCCGGGGATCAGAAGGTATAAATAGAGGCCTGCGTGCCTCTGCTCGGGTTGTTCGTAGAATGGAAGCAGACAATAAAGACTTGTTAGAAATGCTTCGTCTCAAGCGCCATTATTCTCCGGACTTAACAAGAACATTTGCAAAATAAACATGAAAGTTCAGAGCCTGTTTTGTCTTTTTGGCATTAATGTAGTTAGATATAGATGTCTTAAAATGGGCACTGAATAGTAAGACAGTGTACAAGAATCTGTAATGTTTTGGGTTTGCAAGTATGAGGTGTGTGTTTATTCTTGGTAGCCAGTGACTATGCAGGGTGACAATGCTATATGGGGATCATGGGAGTTGTAATCCAAGCTATCGAGGATACTAGATCAGGAAGGCTGTCTCAGAGGCCTGTTAACTCTGAATTTCATCCATACAACAATAAAATAAAAATGTTTACCACCTCCTGTGCAGCATATTATTTTCTTATTTGTGTCTTTGAGCAAATCCTTCCAATTAAATAATAAAATCCAGGTTTTTAATAGATGTATGTATTGTTTTGTTTTACTATTGATGTTTTAATTATTGGTTGGGAGCTGCCCAAAGTTTGATGTAAAGATGGGTGGCCATATAAATGTTTTAAATAAAACAAATATTTTTTTTGTTTTTAAAAAATAAAACTAGCAGAAGCATTTTCAAAGCCGATGAACAGGACCAGCTCTAAAAATAACAGAAATGAGTATTCCTTAGTAGGAAAACAAAGCACCCAGTGCTCCCGCATGACTCTTCTCAAACTCAGTAAATCAAAATTAAAACTAAATGCGAGGGTCAAAAAACTCATAATTAAAATGGAGGGGAGAGGAGGGAGAAAGAAAATAAAAAGGGAAAAAAATGCTAGCCGGTGACGTGAAACACAAAATTAAACAGAAAGGGAAACAAGGGGGGAGGGCAGGGGTATGGAATTATTTATGCTGGCGCACACACACCACAGGTAGTTCTCCAGTTTTCTGCAGGCTGTGTCTTGTTGCATGTTAAATAGCCAGGGGGGGGGGGGGAAGGCTGAGATCTCCATCAAGATTGATTAGTGTCTCGAGAGCTTATATATTGAAGTGCATCAGAAACACTTGTCTCTTACTGCAGAGGGAAGAGTGTGGAAGAATGTAAGTCAATCTGATATATTTCAAAGAATGCAGAAATATTGAGGAACAGACAAAAGCAAAGCTGGGTGAAAGGGAAAGAATGAAGCAGGATGAAATGATATTTTTTTTTTCAGAATGGGGAAAAGTATTTGCTCATGTTTTAGTTGTATTTACTTGTTGCAGCTGAACCGAATAACATTATATTAGAGAAGGTTACAACTTGTAACTGCAACAGCTTAAACTCTCTAGCAGAATAAGAGTTTATAGGGACATTGTCATTAGATCTTATAAAATTTAAAACTATTTTTTTCCAATTTCATCCTAATAGTAAGTATCCGGGATTGAAATGCCTTCAATTGCAGAAAAATCTCTGTTTTTGTTTTTATTTGGATAGCTTGATATGGATTGTAAATACAGGTTTTTAATTACTGCCTTTCTTTGACAGCTGAAAACAACATATACATTCATCTCTATAGTTTTGAAAAGACAAATTGGGTTGTTTGAACAGATTCACCACACATACCCCCAAAAAAGCAGAAATGACACACGTGAGAATAAAGTTTATTGAGATTCTAGAAAAAGTCATGAAAGAAGGAGAGCAGATGACACCAGAGGAGATGCTGATGACTCATGAAGGAATTGCATACCCAACTGTCTTTTGCAACCCAGAGCAGTTCAAAGCTATGGAAGCCTTCCAAGCTAGGAGTGATGATGTAGTTCTAGCAGGATACTGCAAATCTGGTGAGTTTGTTTGTTTGTTTGTTTGTTTGTTTTCCTACAAAGGTGTCTCCTGGGCTTTTGATACATATTTTAAAAGTCCCTGCCCCATTAGATTTTACTTGTAATAGTGATGAATTGATGAACTGTAGGGTAATAGTCTGAAATAAAATCAAAGGGTAAGGGAAACTTCAGAAACAATATGAAAAACATCTTTGCATATCTGTAATTTACTGGTTTCTGCTGTTACCTGAGCAATTTTGGGCCTCAATAATATCTATTTAGTTTCTGAAGCTGCACTGTGCAAACAAAACTATCATTACATTTATAGAGAGAAAGAATGTAGTGTTAAACAGAGTTCAATTTGATCAATTGAATATATGCCACACGTGCTATATACTATATTGCTGACATTTTATCTACAAACGTTTAATGATACTAGCAATTGTAAGCCTGCAGGTTCAATGTCTTTCATGGGATTTTCAATTTTTTAGAATTCCAAAGAAAAACCTTCTTTGGAATGGGCACGTTTTCATATATTTTATATTCTATAACTGGAATTTTTTATCTAGTGCTGACTAGGAGCATTACACACAAAGAGAAGTCCTCTATACTGGAAGGTTTCTGAATAATTTCAGCAAAGAGCACTTTAATATATCAGTTCAGTAAAAATAAAGCAAAACAAAAACACACACTTAAAACAAAAACCTCCTTATATTTGAATAGTATTTGGGGTCTGCTTTTTTAGAATGTGTAATTTGCTCAAGAGCTTTAACATAATTTGTCTTGTTTTAGCTTTTCTGCAGGGTTCTGTGTCTGTTTTTACAATTGCCACATCAATAAAGGAAAATATTGTAATTCAGGATTGAAATGAGGGGTCCTTGGTATTCTCTGAGCTCGCTTGTTTTCTTGCAGAAAACTAGGTAACATCATCAGTGCTACTAAGGACTGTGGTTTGCTGTCAGTTCATGTTCTGGTGGTTTGCCCTGCCAGAGTTGGTGTGGGTGGTCTTAGAGATTCTTTGGTTGGGCTGTTTATTGTCACATGCCAACTTCTTTAAACATTTATGGATCATTTATAGTTTGTTCAAATGTGGGAAAATGCATTTCCTTTATCATAACCAGAAACAATGCACACAGAGAGGAAAAAGATATACAACATTATGTATCCTGTGGAGAAAATGAACCAGTCCTTTCTCATAATTTTAGAATCCTGGGTCAGTAATGAAAAGCTGCCTAGCTGTAGACTCAAAACGATGTATATAGCTATTACACCATAGAGTTGGACAATATTAAGTATAAGGTAAGGCAAATATTTGGGCAGCTTTACAAGGAAATTACCCTTTTGTAAAGGGTACAATATGCCTTTCAATATGCTAATAACACTGTAGTTGTGTATGAGTGTGCTACTAAGCACAGTTCCCTGTTGTGGGCTTCCTATATAAATAATGTATTGTAGAGGGTTGGCTTTTCTTTATAATACCACAAAGTTTTTCTTACATTTGTGAGATGTAGCTGGCATTCACTGTGTAAGGCAGACAGACATGATGATCTATGTTCTGCTTTACTTCCCATGTGCCATCTTAATGGCATCATTGATATATCCAAGCTTTCTCATTGAACTTCAACCTAAGGCAGGAATGAGCAAACTAAAGCCCAGGGCACCCTACAGTCCAGTCACTAAAGACCCTTTTAGTCATCTTTTAAGAGTACTGTTTCCTGCCATTTTGAGGTGGGGAATAGAATAAAAGTATGATGTAACCTTTGAAGTAGGTATACAGTATATCAGTTTAAAGCAAGGCTGTTCCTACAAATTCCATGATGAATCTGACTTTCTTCTGCCCTTTAGAAATGTTCCTCTGCCCTTTAGAAATGTTAAATGGGACTCGTGATCACAAAACATTGTTCACCCTACCCTTAAGGAATATCTTTCTACTGTGCAGGTGTTGGACACCCAACATTAACTTGAGAAATAACTTTCCATGAGTAATATCCAGTGTCCTGTTATGTAACTATTCATCTCACAAGATTGCTTCTATCGGAGAACAGGAACATGTTCCAGCGGGTCAACATTACATAAGCCTTACTCAATTTTTTCAGCTGCATTTGGCTTGTGTTCTTGCCCAACAGAAACTAAAATCTCTGCTGCATTATTTTGTCATTCAAGATCAAAATGTGCCACAGTAATTAGAAAATTAGAATGTGATACTCTAACATCAGAAAGTCTGCTGTTACAAAATATTCTTCAAAATCATGGTGTGTGTGTATGTGTGTCGATGGGTGGATGGAAGGATGGATAAATAAAGTAGGTAGGCAGAATTTTCTTCATAGCTTATTTTTATAGAGAGACTTATACATTTTTGGGTGAGGAGTGTTGTGAAAAAGCACTACTTTGGTTTTTTTTGCCAAACTCTTAACCTTTAAGTCTCCCGAATATCAGTATATATAATGAAATATATTTTCATGTAAATGAGGACAGCTCTTGTAATTGATTGGTATTGGTATTGGTTTTATGTTTATGTTTTTACTACATAAGCACATACTATATTTAATTTTGTTTTTCCCCCTCAGGTACCAACTGGGTTGGCCAGATTGTTACCGATTTAGTAATAACATCTGCAAAGAAATATGAACCAGAGAAATTTAATGAAAAACTTCTCCTAGCAGAAATTCCTTATCTTGAATTAGGAGATACTGAAAAGTATAAGGTTAGTATTATTTATGCAGACTGACAGACACCACTTACCCAATGGTGATAAATTTTCATCAGATTATATATTAAAACAGTAATAGAGGTGAGTATTTTTGCAGGATGTCCATAGAGTAAAATCAGTCAATCAGACTATGTTTGATCAAAAACAGCTAGGTTGATTCTGCATGATTCAGTCTTTGAAAAGGTAAAATTGATCTTATATATTAACCAATCCACTGACCAGTAAGTGTATTACTCTCGGTGCTAACATTCAATGGAAAAACTTGAGGTATGCATATTTGAAATGTGTGATTATTAGTCTAGTCTTGTCTAGTCTAGTCTAGTCCATGCTTTGGATTATATTTACCTAGATTTTTCCCCCCTGCAAAACCAGGGTGCTTTTTGAGTTCAATAAATTTATTTCCAAGCAATTTCTTGTTTTATGATTGCGTGGTGGAGGAGAATAAAGGGAAATTATTTTGTGACTTTGAAAGCTTTAATTTAAAGAGTGTCCAAGAGTTATTCTGAATCATCCAATTTGGTGTTCTCATGCAGGCTGGGGAATTCTGGGATATATGTATGCATGTATGTATGTATGTATGTATGTATGTATGTATGTATTTATTTATTTATTTATTTATTTATTTACTTATTTAATTTTGGCTCTGGAAGAGGATGGATACTTATCCTTCCAGGAGAGTGATGTTTACTCATCTCCGTCCTGATAGATTCCCACCATCTATTTTCAAGAACAAAGCCAAAGTAAGTAGCCGATTTAATGCCCTAAAATTGTAACAATCTTGATAAAATTCAGTGAGCACTTCTATAGGAATAAAGTTAGCCTTGAACAATAAAAAAAAATAAGAAAAATATAAGCAAGTGCATGCTTAATATAATAGTCATTATGTACCATACAAATTGATGAATGGGTAGTAAATAGTTGTGTTTACTATAGTTGTTTATTGATAAGTCATTTAAATTTGGATAATTATAATGACTGTAGTCCAACTTAATTGCATTTTCAGGATATGACAGTTTCCAAATTAAAGCCCTGCCCTTTAGTAGTTCAGAGGCATCATTTGGGGAAGTAGCTGTAAATAGAACTGAAATGGAGGTTCCATACTAATCTAGATAGCCAATGTGGTGTAGCAGTTAAGGCATATAGGCTAAATGAGATACAAAGCCAGCTGGGTGACTTTGGGCCAGTCACTCCCTTTCAGCCCTAAGAAGAAGGCAAAGGCAAGCTACTTTCAAAATCTTCCAAACTTGCCACCCACCCATCTAATCTGGCAATATATTGTCTCACTAGGCCATTCTGTTCCCTAACATCCTTGCATTAATATATAGTAAAATACCAGGAACTGAATGTGATTCAGATATTCACACAGGCAAGGGTATATAAATTTTCAGTGATAAAAAATAGCTTAGGACAATTTTCAGAGAATCTGGTGCATTTTAGAGATATAATCTATGCTTTCTCATTTGTTATTCTAATGTTTTTGGTTTGTTTTAGGTACTGATGCTGGTTCGAAATCCAAAAGATGTTGCTGCATCTTTTTTCCATTTTTCAAACAACTTCAGTCCTTATCCTCCCTATGATACATTTGAAGAGTTCTTCCGAGCTTTAATGATAGGAAAAAGTAGAGTTTCTATTCATTTCAATTGTTTAATGTCTGTAGATATGAAGAACATAGTAACTGTCTATCTTGATTATTATTTTTTATTGATTAGTTTATGCTTTGTTCAAGCAGAAATACTTCAAATTCAGGTTCATGTTCTCAGTTTATTTCAATAAATCATAGTTAATGGCATGACCAGTTTCCTTTTCTGATGTAATATTATTTGAAAAGAGAAGCAAATATTTCTCATTGCCTCAGTCCAGTCTAATTCCCAGGGCTGTTATTGTAGGGAATGTATGCTGCCTTGAGGTTCTGCACAAAAATCCAACTAATAAATAAATAGTACAGCAGAAAAATATATTCGTTCGTTCGTTCGTTCGTTCGTTCGTTCGTTCGTTCGTTCGTTCATTCATTCATTCATTCATTCATTCATTCATTCATTCATTCATTGTGTATGCTGGCTTTTCCCAATTTGAGAGGCCCAGAGAAGTAGATGACCCAATATTGGTGCAGTGGTTAGAATGCAGTATTGCCAGAAGTTCGATCCTGACAGGGCTCAAGGTTGACTCAGCCTTCCATCCTTCTGAGATCGGTAAAATGAGGACCTAGATTGTTGGGGGCAGGGCTTTTTTTCTCATAGAACGCCCAGAACGGAGTTCCAGCACCTTTTTGGGATGGAACCTTGTAGGGTAGGCAAGGCGGGTTGTATGACGTGTGTGAGTTCTGGCACTTTTTTTTCTTAGAAAAAAAGCACTGGTTGGGGGCAATAGGCTGACTCTGTAAAACACTTAGAGAGTGATGTAAAGCACTGTGAAGCAGTATATAAGTCTAAGTGCTGTTGCTATTTCCAAAATTGTAGTTCAGTTTTTCAAGTTGTTTCATTATAACCTCTGGCAGCTAAAGTAATTTCATGTAAAGCCAACATTACATATATACATATTTATTATTTTGGCTTAAATCCAGTTACAAATATTTAGCAAAAAGTAATCTATTATATCTTGAGAGTGTTATTTAGATGAAAGGTTTGGAATAATAATAACCATATCAATTTTCAAGTTAACTTATATTGCTTGTATATGCTTGTTTATGCTCAGATTATAAACTATGTCAGAACTGAGTAAATACTACAGCGCATTGACATCTGTGCAAAACTATAATTTCTGAGTTTCCTAATTGTGGTATGATCACAAAATTAAACTCTATCGATGATGTTAAATTTTATGTGCTTTTCATATATAAATTGATTACTAACTAAATCACAACATATCAGATGTAACTATAATTAAAAAGAAGAAAGTAATTTTTTTTAGATAATGGAATAGTCAGGGAAAAAGATAAACTCTATAGAGGTGATATTCAGAGATGAGCTTAAATTTTCAATGAGTCATATACGTATTTATGTCTGTTATCAATCTTGTTCTAATATGATCTTAATTATTTTTTAAAAATTTCAATAGTGCCCTGGGGATCCTATATAGAGTATCTTTGTACATGGAACAAGTTTATTGATAAAGAAAATGTCCTGCCAATAACATATGAAGAGATAAAAGAGGTACAGTTAATACTGTTCAGATATATGGTTTCTTATACTCATAAACAGCAATGAATGGAAAATCTTAGAGATGGAAAAATGGGAGTTTCAGGGTGTAGTAGGAATTTTAACACCAGGATTTTCTGGAATAAATCAGATCAGAATTCGAATCACTGCTAGATGTTCAGAATCCATTCCAAATACCAATTAAGCTTTCCCAACTTTTTTGCCAGGGTATAAATCTCATGCCAAAATACTCTAGAGTTTCCTTAAATGCATTCTACAGAAACAGTTAAAAAGCCCAACTAACTGAAGCTCTTTTACTGGCCTCCTACTCTTATTATTAAAATGATCAAGAAAAAAAAGAGATGGCCAATGACCTTAAAGTTTCCTGTAAGAAGTTCATGAAGTTTATAATCAAGAAAGACCCATGATCATCAGGCTGTTAGCACGTATCATTTTCAGTTAAGGAAAAGTCTTGAAGGTCTACACGTTTATGGAAACAAATATTCTGCATCTGTTTATTGATATTCCCCTCTCCCCAATAAGTAGTTTTTTTTCCCCGTTCTGCTCTGGGGAAGAAATAGAAATAACAGTGCCATCCAGTGGTGGGATTCAGCCAGTTCGCACCACTTCGGCAGAACCGGTAGCTAATTTTTTGTTGCCCAGGCCCAGAACGGACTTCTGGAAGCGGCATCCACACAGAAAACCGGTTGTTCACATATTTGAATCCCACCACTGGTGATATCCAACCAACCACAACATAAAGCTACATCCATCAACATGAAATGAGATCAAACTAAGCTTGGGGAAATTGTATTTGCTCCCTGTAATAATGTGTGTGGTTGTGTGTGTGTTTATACGTATATTTATATATTCACGTAGAACTTTCTGATTGTAACTGAAACCACATTCATTTATATACTTGGCATGAGGTGTGGTGTAGAATATAGCCACAGCATTTAGAATGAGAAAAACAGAGGGAATCTTAGACATGAAAGTGCATGCAAATATATTGCATCTTTTCCTTTCCAAAATTGGTCAGATATCTTTGTTAGAAATGGGACATCAAATAAATGAGAATTCTTTTCACCAGCAACACAAATTGATCTCTTTTCAGAACCCAGCTTTAGGAGCCAAAAAGATTTCCACATTTCTTGAACTGAACTTAAATGAGGAAGACTTTCAGGATGTTGTAGAAAGGAGCACTTTCAGTGCGATGAAAGATCAATCTAAAACAACCCATGGAGAATTTGGTGAAGTTCTTTTCCGGAAAGGTAACTTTTGAAAATCCATAATGTCGCACTCACTACACCACGGCTTTTCAACCAGTGGTACGGGTACCACCTGTGGTACATTGGCACCTGGCAGGTGGTACGCGACCATCCTAGAAAAGTGGTAGCGGGGGAGGGGAATGAGCTGAACCGTTGGCAGCACCGCACAAGCCTGAGCAAGAGATGGCTGGAGGTGCAGGGCTGTCAGGGCTCAGCGGAAGCGCCAGGATCAGTGCCGCTTTCCAGCTGATCAGCACTTCTTTGGGGCTGTCAGGGCTCAGTGGAAGCGCCAGGATCAGCGCCAGGCTCCAGCTGGAGCTTGGCGCTGATCCTGGTGCTTCTGCTGAGCCCTGAAGAAGCGCCGATCAGCTGGAAAGTGGGACTGATCCTGATGCTTCTGCTGAGCCCAGAAGAAGCGCTGATCAACTGGAATGTTGCAGCATCTCCAGGGTCTTGTGATTTATATTCAGATGCTTGGCAACTGATTCATATTTATGACGGTCACAGTGTCCCAGGGTCATGTGAAGTGACCAAAACCTGCTGCAACCACCCATCAGATGGGAATAAAAATCAAACACCCCCCATCCCACCCCAGCTGCCAATCCTCAACAGAAATGCTCACAACAATGAAAACCTCGGACAGGAGGAAGAGCACCGCCGGGTGGGCAGGCAGGTGTCTTGCTCGGCTGTGGCTTGGGGGGCACTTTTTTCAGTGCCATTGTAACTTCTAAGAATCACTAAGCGAACTGTTGTAAGTCAAGGACTACCTGTACTTAATCACTTTTTTCCTTTTTTTTTGGTCATCAAGTTTTTGACACCTTGCCAGGCGATTGGTGGTACTCAGATGTTGCCATATCCTAAAAGTGGTACAATGGGTGAAAAGGTTGAAAAGCCCTGCACTACACCATTGAGGCTACTGCTAAATATGACACCCTATTTTCATGAGAGTTCATTATTCATCGCTATTCCATAGATTAGGAAAACCACATGAAATTATAACTAATTTGCTTTTGAGCATTTGCATTTTTTTTAAAAAAAGAATCAAGAATTCATGAGCCATCACAGAATGCATGATCAAATCTATTAACTTAAAGGAGAACTATGCTTTATTTAGAATTTAGAAAAAAGGAATAAACGTTTATGATTATTTTAAAATAAGAGTAGTCACAAAATGTGAGAAGCATACTGTAATAATTACAAATCAGGTTAATCTCTGTGATGATTTGGTGATGAACAAACTTCCAACCCCAACAATCCTATGCCCACCGTCATTCCTTTTTTGAAAGGGAAGTAATAATTCTACAGTGCTTATTGCATCTCTGAATAACAGTGGATAATTATATAGTTTTTAAATACAGCAAAGGGCCAAAGATAAAAAGAACTTCACTTTTTAAATCAAATATATAGTACCTGCTAATTCACTGATGTTTATATATAGGGATGCTCTTATTTATTTGTTTATTTATTCAGTTTCTACAGCCACCCAACACAACCAAGAGTTTGAAGATTAATTAGTGATTTTAACCAAAAATAAAAAAGGACAAGCAGCATCCATACAGTATCCATCTGCTTATAAATTTTTTTAAAAGTTTTTTATTAATAAAACAATTAAAACAAAAAAGGACATGACATGACGTTCCAGTATACATAATCCTAATAATTTGTTCCTTATCATATTTAAAGTTCTATATATACATCTCTCTATATAAATATATACATATATTTCCCTATATAATACAAACTCAAGCTTATTTCTCTACATATTAACATATAATTTTATATTGTTAACAAACTTAAAATTTAACTCAAAACCCGAACAGTTCTTCTTGACTCATACCAGCAGTAAAATTTGTCCCAGATTCCAAAATAGTCCGTTTCCGTCTTGTCCTTTAGTTCCATAGTTAGCCTGTCCATGTCAGCACATGATACATTTTTTTGTAGAATCTCTTCTTCAGTAGGAATTTCTTTGTTTCTCCAATTTTGTGCATAGGTCAGTCTGGCGGCCGTGAAGATGTGTAGCATTAGGTAGAGTGTCCCTTTGTCATATTTTGTATAGTAATACCAAGTAGGAAGAGTTCTGGTTTTAGTTCTACCTGTTGTTAATATTTCTTCTAACCATTTTTGAACCTTGTTCCAAAAAACACAGGCTTTTGGGCACTCCCACCACATATGATAATATGTCCCTCTTGCCAAATTACATTTCCAACATGTAGGGGAAATGTTGGGGGCCATTTTAGCTAGTCTTGTGGGCGGGTAGTGCCACCTGTAAAACATTTTATACAGGTTTTCTTTGTAGGATGTAGCCAGAGTGAGCTTCCTATTTCGTGCCCATAGTTCTTGCCAGATATGCACCATCTGCTTATAAATTGACAGTATATATTGGCAATGTACTATGTACTATGGATGGATGGATGGATGAAAATAGACCCAGAAAGGCAGATATCGAACATTTTCAAAAGAGCATTTGTAAAACATCTAATTATTATTTATTTCTCTGAATAGACTGTAGTATTGCAGGCTTTAGGCAAATACTTATTGATATTACAAGATGTGTGGTTTTCGTATAAGAAAAGGAAAATAATTGTTTGTTTTCAGGTGGAGTAAGTGACTGGAAAACACTTTTTAGTGAAGAAAACAACAAGGAGATGGACACAGTATTTAAAGAGCGCTTAGAAGGAACCAAAGTGGGAAAATTGATAAAGTATGATCGTTACTGCAAGGCGTGAAGATCAAGGAAAGAAGCTAATCACTATCAATTCTTAAATGATTCCAATTTCCGAAACAAGGCATTCTATTTTCTTCTAATAAATCTATGAGTTTTATGTAATCTCTATATGAAAGGGGGATGGAAATTATTTCAAGAGTTTTCTGACAAAATTTCTATAAATGGCTAAGCTGCATTATTTAGTCCTGCTGACAGCATATTCATTTCTTTTTCAGATTTATGACAAAATATTTTAGAAATATAAGACAACTGGATAGATGATAGAAAGAAATCTAAAATGTGATCTTTTATTATATAAAAATCAACAAGCTCTTAATCCCACCAATTCTTCAAGCATACATATATGTTTGTGTGTGTTTATTCAGACACACACATATGCACAGATTTACATACATATTGCATTATTAATTAAATATTGAAATCAATTTGAAATGTAACTATTTATATGTATTGCATATTGAAATCTTAATCATAAATTCTAACAGTTAGAAAATTGATTCATTACCTGCCACCAGTCTGAATGATTACTAGGAACAGGAAATTCACACCTGTAAACCAACACAGATAGAGAGAAAAGAGTCCATGCATGTGAAATTTATTTCAATAAGACTTCCTTCCAGGATCAGCTGGTATAAAGAATACTACGCCTATGTGCTTTTTCACTTTTTTGCTATATGGAAAAAAGCTCTAGATACTGCTTTCTCAATACAAATAGTTCTCACTTAATGACCACTTGTTCAGTGGCCGTTCAAAGCTTTGATGGCACTGAACAAGGAGATTTACAACTAGTCTTCATAATTGCAGCAGTTGTAGCATCTCTCTGGTCATGTGATCGTGATTTGGGTGCTTGGCAAAGTGCTCACAATTACAATAGTTGTGATTGCCATTTGTGACAATTAGGTGATTAACAGATTAGGTGAAACCTGGCTCAAAAACAGTCCCTGTGAGAGGGACCTTGGTGTCTTAGTGGATGATCACTTAAACTTCCTAATAGTGAGGACAATTAACCAGTGGAACAGCTTCTCGTCAGAAGCTGTGGGTGCTCCATCACTGGAGATTTTTAAGTAGAGACTGGACGGCTACTTGTCTGAAATGGTATAGGGCAGTGGTGGCGAACCTATGGCACGCATGCCAGAGGTGGCACGCAGAGCCCTCTCTGTGGGCACGCGCACTATTGCCCCAGCAGAGTTCGCCAGAGTTAGTGAGCACGTGGTGTTTGGAAACAACAGGGCAGGAAGTGAGTGAGCAAGCGGCGTTCCCCCCCCCCGGGGATGGTGAGGGACTGGCCCTGGCTACGCTTACCCAGTCTGCCATCACCATTGCAGCCATGCCCACCTAGTGGGCCATGCCCCCCCCCGAGGGCACCACAACGCTGATGCAGCCCTGGCACTTTGCAATAAATAAGTGGGTTTGGGGTTGCAGTTTGGGCACTTGGTCTCTAAAAGGTTCGCCATCATTGGTATAGGGTCTCCTGTTTGAACAGGGGGTTGGACGAGAAGACCTCCAAGGTCCCTCCCAGCTCTATTCTGATTGATATTGATATTGATTGACCTCACTGCCAGCTTGCAAGAAGCAAAGTCCAGTGGGAAGTCACGAATGATGATCATGCGATGTTGCACTTAACGACTGCAAAGAATTCATTCAACAGTGGCAACTGGAACTGTCCCAATTGCCATCATAAGTCAGTGCAATTGTGTGACATCACATTTTACAACAGTGTCACTTAGTAAGCCCGTTGCTGATCCCAATTACTATAGTTAAACAAGGTTTGATCTAAACACAGCAAATAAATTTCACTAAACCTAAATATGTCAAATGTAAGTAAAAGTTTAATTTTTTTTGTGGAAAGCTGACTTATGCAGAAGGAAAACAAATATAAATATAAGTATAATAGATATTCTAAGCCATATTACTTTGAATCCTGATTCTAATTTCTCTCCTTCTCCCTCTTTGTCTTTTTTGTCTTTGTTTTACTTTTTTATATATAAATTTATTAAAAAAAATTTAAAAGAAAAACTAAAACTAATATAAAGTAAGAAAAAGAAAGGAGAAATTAAAAAAATAAAATAAAAGTGCAAGAGAAGAAAATAAAGTAAAAGAAAAATAGAAAAGAAAGAAAAAGATACAGAGAGTAGCCTCTGATCTTCTTTACAGCAGTTATATGTACAATTATAAGTGTACAGTTATAAGTTACAACATAGCTCTCTTCTTTCTGTAATCATCCAAACCACAAATCGTAATTTCATTTTTTTCTGTTTTCATGCAAAAAGTCTATAAGTGGTTTCCAGTCAAGAATAAATGCCGTCTTTTTTCTGATCAAGGAAATCTTTTCTTGTCTTTCCTGGATGTTTTATTATGAGATTTAATGGGAAGAGAATGTGAAACTCACAGAGAAAAACACAGACCTTACCTCCAATTTTTGTTAAATAATACCAGTATTGCTTTGTTAATCCTGCCCCTTGGGTATATGAGAGAACTAGTCCACACAAAATCATTTTTCTATAGTGTGTTATTTGTGTGGTATCTGGGTAATTTAAAAGACTGAAAGCTACCTCTGTTTCATGAACAGCAATAGGAAATTAGCAAACCAGGGAACAAGATTCAAATATGAATATGCTTATATTTAAAAGTGCATGAAGGATGTCAGTGTTCTTAAGACTATTGTTCTTAAGACTATTGTTATACGGGCAAATGGGAAACCATGGATGTCTCAGGAGGTCCATGAGACCTTGAAGGTGAGAAACACCACTTTTAAATCAGGCGATGTGGCAGCACTTACCACAGCAAGAGCTGATTTGAGATGTGCTATAAAAACAGCAAAGCAGACCTATAGTAGGAAGGTACAAAATTTTCAAGATCCTATGGATCCTAGACAAATGTGGCAATTCGGGTTAGTACTCACTATAAGGCAGCTTCCCTGACATGTAAGGGTGATGTGGATTTTCTAAATAAGCTAAATATGTTTTTTGGATGGTTTGAGGCCACAAACAACATTCCAGAAAAGAAGGCTTTTCCCCTTCCTGATGAACAGGTGCTCAGGTTTGATACAACTGCTGTTCAGAAGGTCCTGCAGACTGCGGGTCCTGATAATATCCCTGGGCAAGTGTTTAAGGAGTGTGCTGACCAGTTAACCATTATTCTTACAGACATCTTCAATCTTTCGTTGCATCAGGCCATGGTTCCATCATGTTTTAAGACTGCAATTATTGTACCATTGCCCCCAAAATCTATAATCACATGCATTAATGATTACCATACAGTTGCACTCACTTCCATTATGATGAAGTGTTTTGAGTGATTGGTAAAGGACTATATTGTTTCATGCCTTCCCCCCACATTTGGCTCATTACAGTTTGCCTATCGGAAGAACCTCTGCGTAGACGATGCACTTTCCTGTGTGCTTCATCTTAGCTTGGTGCACCTGGAGGAGAAGAATACTCATGTGCGAAGGCTGTTTGTGGATTTTAGTTCAGCGTTCAACACATTCTTCAGCATTTAGCAATAGCAATAGCACTTAGACTTTACAGCCCTCTCTAAGCGGTTTACAGAGTCAGCATATTGCACCCAACAATCTGGATCCTCATTTTACTGACCTTGGAAGGATGAAAGGCTGAGTCAACCTTGAGTCGGTGAAACTCAAACTGCCAAACTGCTGGCAGCCAGGAGTTGGCAAAAGTAGCCTGCAGTACTGCATTCTAACCACTGCACCACTGATGAATAAACTGGGCCTATTAGGTTTTAACATTCCTTTATGTAACTAGATACTTGATTTTCTTATTGATAGGCCCCAGGTTGTGCGAGTTGGAAGAAGTTTCCAACTCCATGTCCTTGAGTACAAATTCCCCACGGGGCTGTGTCTTTTTTACTGTTCACCTTGATGACCTATGGCTGCTGTGCCAAATCTTCTACAGATCATATTGTGAAGTATGTGCATAACAAGGCAGTGGTGGGTCTCATCCAGGTTGACAATGAAGATGCTTATAGGGAAGACATGAAGGCTCTGGTGGATTGGTGCAATAAAAATAACCTGGTTCTGATTGTTAATAAAACAAAGTTCATTGTAGATTTTAGAAAGAGTCGGCATAGCCATAGTCCACTCTCTATTGAGGCTGCAGCTGTGGAGGTGGTCAACAATATTAAGTATCTGGGGATGCAGATAACTAACAGTCTGACTTGATCTCTCCACATGTCATCCTTAGTGAAATGTGCAAACCAGCCTCTGCATTTCCTGCATCAGATGAGGAGAGCAATCATTCTCCTTCTATCCTGGCCATTTGTTGTTGTTGTTGTTGTTAGTTGCGAAGTCGTGTCCGACCCATTGCGACCCCATGGACAACATTCCTCCAGTCCTCTATCATCTTCTGGAGTCCATTTAAGCTCATGCCTACTGCTTCAGTGACTCCATCCAGCCATCTCATTCTCTGTCGTCCCCTTCTTCTATTGCCCTCAATCTTTCCCAGCATCAGGCCCTTCTCCAGTGAGTCCTTCCTTCTCATTAGGTGGCCAAAGTATTTGAGTTTCAACTTCAGGATCTGGCCTTCTAAAGAGCAGTTGGGGTTGACCTCTTCTAGGACTGACCAATTTGAACGCCTTGCAGTCCAAGGGACTCGCAAGAGTCTTCTCCAGCACCATAGTTCAAAGGCCTCAATTCTTTGGCGCTCAGCCTTTCTTATGGTCCAACTTTCACAGTCATACATTGCAACTGGGAAAACCATGGTTTTTCCATGGCCACTTTTTACAGAGGCATAATTGAGAGCATCTTAACAAACTACATTAATGTTTGGTTTGGTGGTAACAGTGCCTCAGATAGAAAGTCCATACAGAGAGTGGTAAAGACAGCTGAAAAGATTATAGGAAGCTTGCTTCCTGTTATTCAGGATACTGCTCACAAGCATTATGTGCTTAGAGCTCAAAGCCTTGTTAGAGACCACACACACCCATTTCACAGTCTGTTTCTGTTGCTCCCCTCAGGGAGGAAGTTTTGAAATATTTCTAGTAGGATTACCAGATTCTGTAACAGTTTTGTTCCCTACACCATCCGTCTAGTAAACTCGCAAGATTCATTTTTTTTGCCATGTATATGTATATATCCAAACTAAATTGTGTTG